GCATCGAATCGAATTTCACACTGGAATTCGCCGAATCAGCCGAATCGAATTTTTGAGAAATTCGCTCATCTCTACTACTTATAACACTGATTATTTTAACTAAGCACAGACTTTCCCCTCAAGCTCATCCTTACCTCTTGGGTCGTTGATGACCCCTACTGTCAGGAATCGGTGGTTCTGCCGCGATGCGTCGGGTGCGCATGCGCAGAACACCAATGCACCCTAGCCAGCGAGCAGCGGGACCTGGGTGATCGCGACGGGCCGCGCATGCGCACTCGCGATCGCGGACACGCGCCTGGCACAAATGACAGCGCAGGGCGGGCTATTTTTAAACAGGACAGGAGGTATGTCAAATTGCTGTTTGGTCTTATCTGCTCTGTTCCTGATATCTGATCCTGTGAATCTTCTGTTGCCAACCTCTGCATTGTTCCTGACCCTGCTGACTATCTCCTGTTTAACCCCTGGCTTGCCTGACCATCCTTCTGCCTGATCCTCTGTACCGCGCTGCCCATTAGTTACTGAACCCGGCTTGTGACCCTGACCATTCTCTGCCTGCTCCTCCGGTACCTCGCTGCCCGCACGTTACTGACCTGGCCTGCCTGACTACGCCTTACGTTGCCCAGACGATCCATCCATCCCGCACAGATCTGTCCCTGTTACCAGGTCTGCCAGCCTCTTCACGTCAGGCTTCTTTCCCCGCACACCTCTGATGATGCTCTCTACCATTGCCGGACGTACTCAGGGGTCACAACCTGGTCTTAGTCTGTTCCAAGTCCATCCCCACCATCAGGGGCGCTAGTGAATAAGCAGATTGGGACTTAGACCCCGCGCCCTGAGGAACCCCGTGCTGTGGGCTGCTAGAGACGCCGCCAGGCAGTGCATAACACCTATGGAGTTCTCCATCCATGTCCTCCCACTTCCTCCACTGGAAGCAACTTTAAAACATGTATCTACAATGTTTAGTATGTTGTAGCTAACCAGTGTCTCATTTCACCAAGCCTTTGGTTTAACCCCAATGCTTTCCAGCTGTTTTCTTTGAAACTGAATTTGAAAAAAAATAGGCCCACAAGATTCAAACAAGAATACATATGCCTACTACTTAGGTTTTGTTCAGTTTGAATTTCAGCTTTAACACTTTTTTACTTTAGTTGCAAAGTGCCTTTATAGAGAGTGATCTTGCTCAGCTAACTCAAACCTTAATCTAGCAGTGATAGGAGAATGCAGTGAAGGTAAGTATCAGTGGGTACAGGTGGTTGTTTTAAGAGAACCTGTCACTTTGACATGAATTAGTAATTACAAAGTTCCTTTGACATTTAGTTATGGATAGAATAAGGAAGGGTTACAGTTGTGAAATTTCTGTTCAGTTTGTTTCCTGTCTCTGGGATAAAAAGGTAAGTATGGTTCATTTCCCCACTGAAAACACGGAGGCACAGAAAGGAAAACTTGACAGATCCTTCTGTCTATACAAAAGTTTTGGAGTGCGTTGCTTTTGCAAAAATGGCTTTTTAAAAACCTCTAACAGTCTTCTTTGAATTGACCCTTTATTGCAAAAACAAATTTCTCTCAAATATCTTCATTTAAAAGTTTTCATCCATGCTTACGGTTAGCACCACATACTGTGCGTGTCCAAGCTCTTTTTATGGAGGCTTTCACGCTATGAACAAGAGTTGCACAATACAACAAAACGTGTTTTCATAAATGTATCTGAATTGAACAACCTTAGTGGAAAGAAACATATTTTGTGAGCCTCACCATTTAAAAGCTCTTTATCACCCCATGTCACTTATATAAAACAGCTGAACTTATAATTAGGTCTTTTTGGCAGATTTGTCTGAAAAAAATTACAGGCAAACAAATATCCATGTGTCTATTAGATGTAGAAAAATAATGAAGTGATTTAGGGATAAGCCAAGGTTAAAATGGGTTGGCAGATTCGCAGGGACTTAGCACTGACAAACATGTTGACCTTCACTAGTAGTGTTTGCTGAAGCTAAGTGCCTATAGTCACTGTCTTTTTACCACAACTGTTCAGTGTATTCCATAAAGCACTCTGGGGTCTATTTGTAAAAACAATTGTCATGCAAATGTTGCAAGCATTCTCACAGCCTTTGCGAAAAATCACAGTATTTTGTCTAAAGTCATTTACACAGACTTACTGATCAGTACACCTATATAAAAGACTGTATTTATGTAACCGGGAGGCAAAAGTGGCCCATGCAGGTTTGTGCAGTTAGCCTGTTCAAATCAATGGCAGGTAGGTAGCTGCACTGATCTTCACAGATGTACATCTCTCGTTGTAGCTGTGCTATGAAATGTTAAACATGTGGAATCCCATTACCATCAACATAAATCAAATGTAGAAAAACTAATACATTTAACACACCCATCCCCCCCTCCCAGACTGACAATTCTGCAGTCTGCTGTGTCCTTTGCTCATTCCTCCAAAGTGGAGTCTCACTAATACAGGACAAGTGATACTGGCCAGATCATAGGGTGAAAACAGAGGGGAAAAAGCCAAAGAAAAGAAAACTGATGCAGCCACCACATCTAATGATTGGTAAGCTACAATATAATACGTTTTTGGGGTTTCGGTTAATACCACTTTAAAATGGTTGCAATCTTCAGAAAAAAACATATCCATTTATACTGTAGTGTGCACTTGTCTCAAACCAGAGCACTAAGTGTCATTTCTCTGCTGCTTTGTTTTCCTGACACCAAGAGAAAAATGGTGACAGGGGAGGGACCTCCAGCAGATCAACATCCTCAGCTCTAGCCCTGCCTGAATGCTGTGTGGAGGGGGTGTGTCTCTTCCCTCAGCTCTCAGAATTCTCCCAACTGAGCTCTGCAGAGTGTATTTGCAGCTCTCCGCCCCCTTTTTTCTTTATTCTTAGACAAGCTTTATACATTTAGTACTTTGAATGGATGTACAGAACAGAAGACTGTAGATAGACACATAGAAGGAGGATTGGTTTCATCTCTGTGTATTACCTTCACTGGATATATGTAAGGGTTTACAACCATTTTAATACTTTTTTTCTTTTCTTTATACATCATTTCCTACTTCTAGCTACTCTTCCCCTTCAGTACTTCTACCTCGATCCATTTTTAGCCATTCCCTGAAGACACCAAGGGGTTTATTTACTAAAGCTGGAGCGTCCAAAATCAGACTCCCTTCTGCATAGAAACCAATCAGCTTCCAGGTTTCATTGCCAAAGCTTCATTGAACAAGCTGATGTTAGAAGCTGATTGGTTTTCTATGCAGAAGGGAGTCTGATTTTGGACTCTCCAGCTTTAGTAAATAAACCTCTAACTAACACAGTGAATTTTAGCTGTTAGAAATTGCAGTGTGTGCATGCTTTGTAAAAGCCTGTTGCCTACCAAAGAGCAAAGTATGCTGATTAGAAGCTTTAGTAGTGTGGTTTGCTCATAAGCCAACAATATGTGTGTAGTAGTTGCCTGGGTGTGTGTATTTTATTGACAAGTGTGCTAAAAGCACAACTTTTTTCTCTTCCTTTCCCTCTCTCCCTTCATGACACCCACATTTACCCTTACATACCACTTAAGGACCGCTTACCGCAGATTTATTTTGGCAAGTCTTGTATAAATACGTGATCTGGCTTTTCTATGTATGCTGCTATGCTGTCATTTGCTACAGCACAAGCCGATAAGCTGATCAGCCAATGATTTATGGCTGAGACTCCCTGAATGACAGAAGAAAGCCCTGTGTTGGTAAACAACAGAGGGCGCTCTACAGAGTGCAGCGATGTGGTTGTTTTTTGCAGGGATTGCTCCTAGATGTTAACCCTTTCCCAGCCAATGTCATTAGGACAGTGTATAATATTAGCACTGATCACTGTATCAGTGTCACTGGTGAAGTCAGTGTCAGTTAGTCAGTTCCCACAAAGTGTCAGTGTCAAATTACCCACCGCACTATCACAGTCCCACTATAAGTCGCTGATCACCGGCATTACTAGTATAAACAATAAATAAATATAAATTCCAGTATATATACCACTGTTTTTAGATGCTATAACTTTCACGTAAACAAATGAATATAAACTTATTAGGATTTTTTAACTAAAGACATGTAGCAGAATATATTTTGGCCTAAATTTATAAAGAAATTACTGGTTTCACCGGCCGTCTTTTCTCCCTGGCGCCGACATCTTTAATGTGGGCACCCGGCTGTGACAGCTTGCGGCTTCACAGCCGGGCGCCCACTGGGCATGTGCGAGAAGCGCTGCACTTTGTGAATGGCCCCGTAGTCTTCTGGGACCTGTCACGTGTCCCAGAAGACTACAGGGAGGGAGGACAACTTCTGCTTCCGATCGCCTAGGCAATCGCAGCGGAAGTGGAAGCAGGTACCTGTCAGATTTGGGTACCTGCTCCCCACTGCTCCCCAAAGGTTTGCAGTCTCTGGTCATCTCCTGTACAATGTCTGCAGTCTCTGGTCATCTCCTGTACTATATCCGCAGCCTCTGGTCATCTCCTGTAGTATGTTTGCAGTCTTTGGTCATCTCCTGTACTATGTCTGCAGTCTCTGGTCATCTCCTGTACTATGTCTGCAGTCTCTGGTCATCTACTTTACTATATCTGCAGCCTCTGGTCATCTCCTGTACTATGTCTGCAGTCTCTGGTCATCTCCTGTACTATGTCCGCAGCCTCTGGTCATCTCCTGTAGTATGTCTGCAGTCTCTGGTCATCTCCTGTACTATGTCCGCAGTCTCTGGTCATCTCCTGTACTATGTCCGCAATCTCTGGTCATCTCCTGTACTATGTCCGCAGTCTCTGGTCCTCTCATGTACTATGTCCGCATTCTATGGTCATCTCCTGTACTATTTCCGCAGTCTTTGGTCATCTCCTGTACTATGTCCGCAGTCTCTGGTCATTTCCTGTACTATGTCCGCAGTCTCTGGTCATCTCCTGTACTATGTCCGCAGTCTCTGGTCATCTTCTGTACTATGTCCGCAGTCTCTGGTCATCTCCTGTACTATGTCCGCATTCTCTGGTCATCTCCTGTACTATTTACGCAGTCTTTGGTCATCTCCTGTAGTATGTCCCGCAGTCTCTGGTCATCACTTGTACTATGTCCGCAGTCTATGGTCATCTCCTGTAGTATGTCCGCAGTTTCTGGTCATCTCCTGTACTATGTCCGCAGTCTCTGGTAATCTCCTGTAGTATGTCTGCAGTCTCTGGTCATCTCCTGTAGTATGTCTGCAGTCTCTGGTCATCTCCTGTACTATGTCTGCATTATCTGGTCATCTCCTGTACTATTTCCGCAGTCTTTGGTCATCTCCTGTAGTATGTCCGCAGTTTCTGGTCATCTCCTGTACTATGTCCGCAGTCTCTGGTCATCTGCTGTATTGTGTCTGCAGTCTCTGGTCATCTCCTGTACTGTGTCTGCAGTCTCTGGTCATCTCCTGTACTATGTCCGCAGTCTCTGGTCATCTCCTGTAGTACATCCGTGGTCTCTGGTCATTTCTGTACTATGTCTGCAGTCCATTGGTTCAGAATATTTTTTTTCTTGTTTTTCTCCTCTAAAACCTAGGTGCGTCTTATGGTCAGGTGTGTCTTATGGAGCAAAAAATACAGTAGTTTTTAAATTTTTCTATTGGATATGTTTTAGCCCTGGTTCACACTGATGCGGTGTGGAATTCACAGCGTTTTCAGTGCAAATTACGCACCGCATCACAATCGCATCCCTTCACACGGACCGATGCGGCTGTGTATGTTAAGTTAACGACACCCCCACATCAGTCTGCGAAACGTGGTGCGATGTGCACAATCGGATCGCATAGGTGTTCACACCTAACACCTCAATCCTAGTGCAAACCAAAAAAGGGTCCTGCACCTTTTTGGTGCGGTGCGGTGCGGTGCGAATAGCATAAAAATCATATGTGATTTGTACAGGAATGCGGTGCGGTTCCTGTGCAAATCACATGGGATTTACTGCTCCGCTGCAGTGTGAACCAGGGCTCAGAGCAGAAAGTAAAAAATATTGTTTTTTTCCAAACTTTTCTGTCTTTTTGTTTGTATATATATATATATATATATATATATATATATATAAATAAGCAAAAAAAAGACAGAAAAGTTTGTAAAAAAACAATCTATAAAATATATATATATATATATATATATATATATAAAATGGTATTTAATAAGCATCAAAAGAAAGCTCTATTTGTTTTAAAAAAATATTATATAAATTGAATTTGGGTACAGTCTTGTACAACCGCGCAATTACCAGTTAAAGTAGCGCAGTGCTGAATAAAACCTTCTGCAGCTTAACTGGTTACACAAAACTTGCCAGAACAATTTTTTTCACTAAAATGGTTTCCTTTTAAATAGAATCTATAGTATTTTCAATAATTTCTTAAATATTCATATACAAATCATCTTGTTTTATATAATCTTTTTAATGTACATTTAAAAAAATATATATTTTTTAAACATACTACCCACAATTTGTAATTGTATACGTATATGGGGACAGCCATTCAGACTCTGCTTCCTTCATTTCAGTGCTACACAATGGCTCCACTTTACTGTACCTTCTCACAAAGCAAGTCTATGTTGTTTTACTAAAAGCAATTAGACTGTTCATTTTGCAAGAGACATTGCATATTGCAAGGGAATTTGCCCCAGAGCTTAGTGAATGAGTTGAACCTCCCTTGCACATGACTGGATATTCTTTAAAAAGGGACACTTCACCACATTTACTAACTTCTAGAGCAAATTCCTTTGCAAAGTGCAACTTCCCTTGCAAAGTTAACAGTCTATTTGCCTCTAATAAATAAAACCCTATGAATCAGTTGACTTACCAAAAACAATGAACTTCTGTGTGGCTATTATCTTTACCAACAGCTGTTAAGCAACTAGGCAGGGTTATTGTATTAGAAAAGTCATCATGTGGCTAGTGACCAAGCTACAAATCTCCATATTTAATTTAATAGCAGCAGCATTAATTAGCAAGGAAATGCAAAATGTAGAAAGGTGGAAATCAGAGAAAAATAATCTTAAGTCAAATATCAATGAAAATACACTATTCTCATTTAAACCAAGATGGTACAAATGCATTTAAATAAAATGAGATCACATAAGTTGACAAAACATTGTTTTCCACAGTCATTAAAAATAAAATGTGATTTTGTGAAATAGTAAAGGTTGTAGCAATCTGCTACACCAGGAAGGCAATCATCCAATGAGTCATAAAGAACTTCCATCCCTTCAGGCAGCATTTAAAACCACATTAAGACTTTGGTCCTGGCAGTTACGGCATCACCCACTGTGTGAGCCTGGGGAATCACAATCTCAATGTGCTATGCACAGTTATTTTAACCTGAGAAGTCAAAATGGTACATTTACTTATTTATATTTGCATGATAAAACTGCTGGCTACATTCCAGTCTTTGAAGTGCTTGGCTGGAAGAAAAGGAGACAAGCATAATGTCCAATGTATCTTCTTTGTTAATTGATTTGCTACATTCAGAATGGTCTGTTTCTCACTCAACATTTTTCTTTTGTATCAGGTGAATTTTTTAGAATCAGTGAGTTCATATATAACCTGCTAGGTAAAGATTTGAATACATTTTTATTAGTAAATAGGAGACAAGTTGGAGGATAAACTAAATTAATCATCAAAGCAGTTATAGTGTTGTTTATTCTGTTGTATAATCCAAGTATACTATGTTCTGTACAATAACAGTACCTTGTTGATATATATATACAGTATATATATATATATATATATGTCCAGAATAGAATGAAAATTAAGTTCTTATGCTTGAGAAGGGCTCTGTGAAGGGTGAAGCTGGCCAAGATCACTTGGAGTGAGATGCCAGGAATATGTTAGAACTGTTAGAACTGTTGCATTTCAGCCTTGTCAGAGGTGAGACATTCTTTTTTGTGACACCCTGTTCAAGTGCCTCGTATTAGGAAAAATGCAAGGAAGTTTGGCAAAGAGGTACACAATAATTTTGTGTGGAATTTTGGTAAACGTGCATCAGAAAACTTTGGAAATGGTGAGGAAAGCTTATGGAGAAGCTGCGCTATCATCTGCACAAGTGTACAGATGGCACAAGGCCTTCAAGGAAGGACAAGAAGGTGTTGAAGATGAACAATGATCAGGATACCCCTCTTCATCAAAAACTAAACAGAATGTGGATGCAGTGAGGTCTGTTCTCAACTGTGATTTATGGCTCACTATCAGAATGATTGCAGAGGAAACAGGAATTACCAAGTAAATTGTTCATGAAATTATGACTCAGGATTTGAACATAAGAAAAGTGTGTGCAAAACTTGTTCCAAAAAACTTGTCACCTGATCAGAAGGAACACTGTCCACTCGTTTGCCAAGACCTTTTGGCCTGTTTGGAGAGAGAGCCTGATTTTTTTGAGTCGAGTGATCAAGGGAGATGAATCCTGGGTGTTTGAGTACAATTCTGAGATGAAGAAACAAAGTTCAGAATGGCACACACTTATGTCACCTCACCCCAAGAATGCCCGAATGAAAAAATCAAAAGTCAAATGAATGGTCATTGTTTTTTTTTGTTTAATTCACGTGGAACTGTCTATAAGGATTTTGTACCCACTGATCAAACTGTGAATCAATTTTACCTGGAAGTTCTTGGTTGCTTGAAATAAAGAGTTTTTTGCGTGTATCTTGAGATCGGCTCAACCTGGATCTTTCATCAAGTCAATGCACCAAGTCACAGTGCTTTGGCTGTCAGAGTTTTTGACTGAAAAATACATCATGGTACTTCCCCATCCACCCTATAGCCCTAACTGACCTCCTTGTAACGTTTTCATATTCACAGAGATGAAGAAGGGTTTCAAAGGACACCATTTTGATAGTGTGGATAATGTCCAAAGAGAGCAGAAAAACAGTATTGGCACCCAATACTAGTACCTTGCTTTACAGACACAAAAACACCATAGCTGCTAAGCCTTGAAGTCAATGAACTTTGGGTAGCAGCTTGGGTGATACAAAAAAGGGGCAACACAAATGAACAGTTTCATTCTATCTGTAAAATGGAAGATTTGTCCATATTCTGGTAGCTGTTCTGCCTGTGCAGATAGCCCCCATTTATGATACACTGGCTCAAGTTGCAAGTGTGGTGTAGAGTATAACACAAGTAATTAAGCCTGTGGGAGATGTTCCCCCAATGGAAAAATAAAGCACTTTAGAAGAAAAAGAATTAAAACTAATTTGGAAAAAGTCTGTAATTTTCATGGGTTAGTGAACTACTATGCCATAGATTTACTGTGCCAAGTTTATTTCAGAAATGGCAAACCTCAGTGACAATTAGCTCACAGGACAAATACATGGATGTGGGCACCAAACCCATCATTCTAATTAAAGAGTATGCAATTAATAAACTACGGAGATGACTTGTGCCACGATTCCTTACTGACCTGAACTATTGCTAGTCTTGAGGGTTTAGGCCCCACTCTAGTTCAGAAATAACATGACAGGGTTTACAGACCTGTTCCTTATCAAGCAGGGCACTTACTGGTGTGAAGATACAATATCACATACAAAAAGACTAGCTATTGTTTGGGAGATTGATTTTTTTCAACTCACATACATATTTTACATTTTTATTGTAAAATTGTTGCCACTCATTTTATTCACCCTGCAGCAGGTTTCCACAGCAGAGAAAGCAGGATAAAGAGAATCCTTAGCATCATTCAACTTGAATATAAAAGAGGCATGTGGACAGCTAAAGCCTAGTACACACGAGCAGAAAATCGTACCAAAAATACTGCTTTCAAATTGGTCATACGATAATCTGATTGTTAGAATATAGCTTTTGCCTGAAATTATTCAAAGGGACAAGCACAAACATTTTTCTTGTACTATACCAGATTGTACGATTTTTGTTTAATCGGCACAGTTTTTGTCCAAAAATACAATACAATACATTACATTACTTCTGTGATCACTTCTGTTGTACCAGAATTTTTGTAACTTTAGTAACATATTCGTTTTTGATATAGAGACTAACATGCAAAAAAAGGATGCTCATTCATCCAATATTCTCATTGTGTGTACGGGGCTTAAGACTAAAAATGAGCCCTGGCTAAGTAAGATGTGAAAAAAGAATGGAGGCTTTTTCCCAACCAAAGCTCTACTAAGCCTCCAGGCTCCGGAACCTAAAACAGAGCTTACACACCAACAATCCTGACAGCCAGTGCTTCACAACATTTCTATATATATATATATATATATATATATATATATATATATATATATATATATATACACACAGGGTGATTGAA